AGAAAGCCCTTTATAGTCTAAAACAAGCCCTATTGGCTTGGTATAGTCGTATTGAGACATATTTTCTTAAAGCTAGATTTTTGAAATGCCCTCATGAACATACACTGTTTATTAAAATTGAAGATGGAGAAAAAATTCTTATTGTTTGTTTGTATGTTGATGATCTCATACTTACTAATAATTGTGATGTCATGTTTCAAGAATTTAAGAAGTCTATGATGGAGGAATTTGAAATGCCAGACCTTGGTATACTGCATTATTTCCTTGGCATAGAAGTGGTGAATGCAGGTGATGGATTCTTTATTTCTCTAAAGAAATACATCAAAGATATTCTAGATAGGTTTCAAATGAAGGATTATAATCCAATAAGCACACCAACAGAGTTTGGCTTGAAGTTAAACAAAGATCTTGGAGGGAAAAAAGTGGACAACACTCGATACAAACAAATTGTGGGCAGTTTAACGTATTTAACTACAACAAGACTAGACATAATGTATTCCATGAGTTTGATCAGCAGATATATGGAAAGTCCTACAGAAATGCATTTGTTAGCTGCTAAGAGAATTCTTCGTTATTTACAAGGAACAAAAGATTTCAGTCTAATTTATAGAAAGAGTGAACAATCAATTCTGTCTGGTTTTACTGACAATGATTATGCAGGAGATCAAGATGATAGAAAGAATACTTCAGGGTATGTTTTTATGCTTGACAAATGTGCAATTTCCTGGTCATCAAAAGAGCAACCTGTAACATCATTCTCTTTTTTAATAAATTTCCTTTAAATAATTTACATTAATGAAAATATTATTAAGAAAATTAGTAATAATTTGTACTAATTTGTACAACTTTGAAGAAATAGTACAACATGAGAATACAAATTAATAAAAATGACAAATTTACAAAATCTATCAATTTAATATTTCATTGTCAATGAAATAAAAATACCTAAATAGATTTATACATTAAATATATTAAATTAATTATATCTAAGCAGTTCTTTTCTCACAATCCTTGAAGAGTATGACCCTAGAACGAATCAACTATCTCCATTTGTTTTTTTTCATTACCTAAAAATATCAGTAAGGGTGAGTATTTTTCGCCCACTAAATTTCTTTTATTATAAATTATTTTAAAAGAAACTAAAGTTATTGCCTAATATCCTATTCTACTTCATTATCAATAGTGCACAATTCATATTTATACTCATCATATTCAAGCACATACAATAAGACAACCATCAATCAAAGCATATACCACAATTCACTCATTACACATACATTTCTATGTTGACTTGTATGTTATTAGACATGTATCATATCGTCTCAATTTATACGTCACAATACATGTGTCCCAGTCACACCTGTTGATGTACTACAACACATATCATACAACATAAATCGATCTATTATGATACATATATTATAATTATACAAATTCGATATTACTTCACATCTATAATATTTTCATAATAATTTCTCCTGAGATCCCTTGAGGACTTCCTAGTATAGATAGTTGTTGGTTGGCAGCAACACCACGAATACACGTGTGCCACCCTGACCCCTTTTAGCAAAGGTATAGTCACGAGTTTCGTAAGGAAATGATAGTGTGGCCTGTGAATGTCTATTTTTCAACAAATTATTGTGCACCTTTTTATCGTTAATAATCACCATCCTCATTTTCCCAAGATTTTTCAAATCTTCTCCGAACTTTATACTCCAGTGTATCGTTGTACTATCTATACTTATTCTCTTCTCTTTCTTATCATTTCTCATTTTCATATTCTTTTTATCGATCAACATGTCATAATACGTGAGTTACAATTGATATAAATTCGTGGATCATAATATATATTATAATACACCCTTCAATGTGCTATAATATATATATATCGTAGTCACCTTTTTAAGTTACTTGGACTCACGCATCATAATCATGCATCTCATTCTTTCTCAAGCATTTTCCATTTACTCATTTATATATATCATATGCTTTCAAAATCAATTAACACTTCAATCATTCATGTGAATCTACTCAGATTCTCCTAAGATCACTATATATGTATATAAAACTAAGGCTCGAGAATACTCTCCTTAATTGGTAACGATTCCTCAAAACTAGTTTTCTGAGAGATCTACGGAGAGATTCCACAGTATCAACGGAGATATCATCCGAAAGATGAAGTTTCTTCGATCTGAATGAAATCGATGTTTGAGCTCAGATCTGGAAGAGATTCAAAGTCAGATAGAGTTTTCTTTAGAGAGAGGAAGGAGAGAAAATAGAGAAAATGAAGAGAGAAAGTCATTTGGTGAGAAATAAATGTTTTTTAGATTGAGGTTCCTTAAATATCCTTCTAAACTCATGCGATCTCCCTTGAGCGATAAGATTCTCGCTTGAGCAAGCATCCATCCTCGCCTGGGCAAGCCTTCCTCGCCTAAGCGAGACTACCCATTTTTCTGATATTCTCGCTTGAGCAAGATACAATCTCGCCTGAGCGAGATTGAGTCCAGAGCACCTATCTTTTCTGCGACTCCTCGCCTGAGCGAGCTCTATCTAGCTTACGCAAGATGCTCCTAGCCTGAGCGAGATCACTTTCTCGCCTAGGCGCGAGGACAATTGGGCCAACTTTATCTCATTCTCGCTTGAGCGAGGGGTTCCAAAACGTTCTATTTTAGGAAATCTTATGTCGCTTAAGCGAGATCTATCTCGCTTAAGCAAAATATCCTTTATCCAAATTCCTATTTTTCTTATCCAAGAGTAATAAAATTGAGGGTGTTACACAACCAATAGTCATTCTGTCAAGCACAAAAGCTGAATTCGTTGTTGCAACAGCTTATGCTTGTCAGGCTATTTGGCTAAGAAGAATGTTGGAGGAGCTGAAATTTAAGCAACAAGGAGTCATTATAGTTTTTTATGATAACAGCTCAACAATAAAGTTCGCCAAGAATCTAGTGCTACATGGAAGAAGTAAACACATTGATGTCAAGTTTTATTTTTTAAGAGATCTCACCAATGCAGAGTAATTAACTTGAAGTTTTGCAAAAGTGAGGAGGCTGTTAGGAGTTTGTTCTTTAGGAGATTCTATTGTAGAAGTAAACTAAGCTTAAAGACTTCAGTTTAAAGGAGGAATTGTTAAATAAATAAATAATAGTAGTGATGTTTATTGTTTCTGCATGTTATATTTTAATTTTCAAGTATCCTAGTCTTTAGGAGTTAGTTGGTGTTTTCTGCAGATCATAAGTCCTATTTTAGTGCTGTCTTTTGTTATGCTTTTGAGAATAAATAAGAGTGCCTTTTTATTATATTCCTTATTTCTATCAACTAGTAGGTTCTAGTCTACTTTCCTACAACAGTTGGGGTGTTAGTCAAAACTACTCTTTTTCTTATCATCGTCAATTTAATGGACAAAGTAAGGTTCTTAATTGTTTCTTGGAACATTATTTGACGTTAATGGTTTGGATAACTCCTACGAATTGGTCCCAATGTCTTCCTTTAGCAAAATGGTGGTACAACACCACTTTCCACTCTTCCATTGGTACCATACCATATAAAGTGTTACATGGACAGTCACCACCCTTGTATATTCTCTACGTTCCACAATTATATTCAATTGATATGGTTGATAGAAGCTTTGTTGTTAGGGAAGGAATGATGCATAAATTAAAATATCATTTGGAAAAGGCAATCTATCACATGAAACATTGGTTAATAGAAGAAACATTTAGAGAATTCAAATAGGAGATTGGGTTATGCTTAAACTGTAGCCATACTACCAACAGTCAACATGCCTTAAAAGTTCAGAAAAATTAGCTCTAAAATATTTTAGCCTATTTGAAATCATTCAATGAATCACTAATTATTTACACTTTTTAGCTACATTTAAGATGCATAATTTATTCTACAGTTCATGTCTTATTATTTAATCGTGTAAAAACTCTACCATTTTTCTTACATAAGTGCTTGCTAAATAGAGGAGTTTTAGAACACTACATGAGCGTGAGAAAATAGTGGATGAGGAATGGTACAGAGGGTATATAGAGCAATCATTGAAGTACTCGTACAACAATATGGAGAAATGGATAGGGAGGTTACATGAGAGGTTTGGGATAAATTACAAAAGAAATTTCTAGAATTTACTAAGTCATAACACCCTTAAAGACATAAGTAATCTAATGAAAGAATTTTGATACATAATCTGTTTTGAAATAAAGACATAAGTGTAAATAATTTATATTAGGAGGTTGAGATTTAATTATGAATTTTAAAGATGTATAAATAGATAATTTTGTTATTAAAAGTGAGAATAAAAAAATATTTTTCTCTATTTGCTTAATTTTTTTCTATTAATTCTTTCTATTCTTCCTCTTTTATATATATGTTTTAACAAGCCTCTCTCTTATTTCTATAAATACATATGAATTGTAGCCTTTAATTAGTAATTTTTCTAAGTTAGAAATCCTAAAAAATAACATGAAGGGAAAAATATTTAACAAAAAAATCTTTAAAAAAAGAAAAAAAAATTACCAACGTAGATACTTAATAACTTTTATTATAACATCAATAAATTTTTATCATGACTTCGTTCGAACAACTACTTTACTTTTATTATTATAATTGTAACAAGATCAATAATATCAATAATTTAAAATGATATATTTAAACTTTGTGGGAGTAAAAAAAAAAACGTAATCAGCAACGTTGAATCATTAATTGGAAATGTAAAGAACGATTATATTAACCAATGTTTTTAAAATATGAAATAAAAATTAATAAATATTTTTATTAAAATATATTATGTTTTTTTATTCCTCTAGAACAAAATGCAAGGCATCTGGAAGATGGCACTGACAAAAAAAAAAAAAACAAAAAAAAAATATTTTTTACTGGTTTAAGTTAAAAATTCAGTAACAACGCCAAGGCATGTCTTGGTGTTTAGAGACCCTGTTAAGAAAACCATTAATCATGATTCCCTGTTAACTAAAGAACGAACGCAGCTTCACCTTATCTTATCCACAGCCAGCACAACAGGTGCAACTAATCTTTAACAATGTCATGAATAAAACCAAAAGCGTCACGCGCTGCACGCCATTGGTGCCTCAGACACCCAATGGCAGAGAAGAAGGACCTTCAGACCGTCATCAGAAGGATCGCCTCTGTGACTAACCACCTCACTTCCTCCCACACTTCCCAAGCTCAACTCGCCTTGTTCCACACTTCTACTAGGAACGATACCTACCAACGTGTTCACGGTGAAGTTCCCTCTCACGACGTCGTTTGGAGGGTCGTCGCTTCTGATGAGTCTGGCAAGCCCTTCACTGACATCGTCTACGAGAAGGCCGTTGGAGAGGCAATGGCCAAGGTTCACTTCCTTATCCTCTTTGCTTCTTACTTATCCCTCCATTTAGATACCATTTTCATCCCTTCAATTTGTAAACCATAATGTAAGTCTCTAACATTATAAAAATTCTTTTTTTTTAATCATTTCTATGTTTAAAAAATATTAAAATGAGTATGGTTCCATAAAGTTAGAGACTGTCAAAGGAATTTTAAAATTTTAGGAATAGAATACTTGACTCCTAGAATCTAAATTCTTAAGAAAAATACTAATTCAGAGTATACTCGTTTGCTTCAAATTGGTTTTGGTTTTCATGTTGTTGCGGTGGAAATTGGCTACTGTTGCAGATAACTATTAATAGGCCAGAGAGGAGAAATGCGTTCCGACCCCACACGGTTAAGGAGCTTATGCGTGCTTTCAGTGATGCTAGGGATGATAGCTCTATTGGGGTCATCATTCTCACTGGCAAGGTACTATTATTTCTTGGAAAATCTTTAAGAAGACCACCTGTGGCATCGTGTTATGTTAGAATCAAAAGAAATGGATTAATGACAAATGGTTTATCAAATCATTATTATATAACTGATTTGCCATTCCCATTCACTGTTTAACTTAATTCACCTATTGTAATATAAGATGTTGATTTGGCTTAGATTCCGGGATCACCCTTTTTGCTGGTTATGGCATTGTTCATTTTAAGTGATTTTACTCTGCTATCTCCTTATAGGCTTATCATATTGTCACTGAATTTAAGGATATTGTATTTTATTGTTTCTTAATCATGGTGCTTCCTGTACAGCTACAATTAAACTATCATTTTCACCATGTTGTCATCACCTTTATTCAACTGAACCTGATGAGGACGTGAAAATCAGTGTGGAATTGATGTTGATTACATATTGTTGTCGTAGGGGACTAAGGCATTTTGTAGTGGTGGTGACCAGGCTTTGAGAAACGAAGATGGTTATTCAGATCATGGCAATAATAGTAACCTTAATGTGTTGGACTTGCAGGTATATTGATTGATTCCATGTTTTTCTTATTGGATGAATGGAATTGGTTCCCATTACTTGAATTAACCCTGGGTGTTTTGAGGCATTCATCTCAATGGAGCATAAATCTTTCAAGTTTTCCATTGATTGTGTTGTTTCCATGATTTGTAATGAGACAAATGTCATTGCTTTTTATGGAAAAAATACATTTGTCCCTTTCTTACTCTATCTTTTCTTCTTCCTTTTCTCCTATTGCAGGTGCAGATACGCCGCCTTCCTAAACCAGTGATTGCAATGGTAGTTGATGTACCTTTTGGAATCATTATTATTATGGTATTATTTACTAAAAATGAGGGACAAGACAGCATTAGAAAAATATTCTAGAATGGATGGAGCCATGGAGCCTAACTCATTCACAAAAGTTAACTTAAGGAGGAGTGCCCGAGTCCTATAAGGAGCATTCTAGTCATATCCTTAGTAAATGTGGAATATCTTAACACACTCTTGTGATCTTAGGGCTAGACATTTGGTAGATGAAGTTTGTAGGACTAAACATTTGTAAGTAATCTAACACTAAAGCTAGATAGATTTTGATACCATATTAGAAATGAATTGGACCTAACTTTCTCCAAGAATTTAGTTCAAAGGTGGAAGATTGTTCAAGTTTTATACGAACTATTTTGACCATATTCCTCAATGTAATATATCACAACAGAATGTATTTTGTTTGATTTTTGTAGTAGTTTACGTATTGGACAAAATATAACTCAAGGTAACTATTCGTTACCCATTAAACTGGCAAAATTTTGTCCACAACACAAAGAAAAAAGACCAATGACCCTTGCCCTTTCATTTTCCCAACTCAGATTGCAAGCAAAACAAATAATGCACAACACAAGCGGTATTACAGTATGTTTTTGAAAGTATTAACTGTTGGATAACGCAACTTTTAGTCCTGTGATTTGTCATATTAAAACAAATAACTCAATTCCTTCGTGCATAGTCTTTGATATTTTAAAGTTTAAACTCATGGTTAATATAACATGCATTTCAGTTTTCTGGTAAATTTGATCTTTACTAACACCCCTCCCCCCCCCCCCCCCCCCACCCCCACCCTCCGCTGATTCAACGTCTACAACTGTGGGCCTGAAAATTCCAGTTGATGAATAATGTTATCATTTGTTTTTTTAGGTCCTTTATTATTCTTGTTATATACAAACTATTTTTCTTACGTTAAAACAGGTAGCAGGTTATGCTGTTGGAGGAGGACATGTACTACATATGGTCTGTGATCTAACCATTGCAGCAGATAATGCCATTTTTGGCCAAACTGGTCCTAAGGTTCTTGAACTCTTTTCCTTTTCATGTAAGAGACATATATTAATCAAACATATAAAAAGATATTCTTAATATTATAAGTAGGTAAACTGGCAAAGTTATATAGCTTTCCCCTTTCACAATACCTCATCATGAATTTGTAATTTCTTCTGTCCTTGTACCTTTGGAAGGTAGGAAGCTTTGATGCTGGTTATGGAAGTTCGATCATGTCCCGTTTAGTAAGAATCAAATATGCATTATTTTGCTGATAATTCACCCTCACTAGTATGCTATTCTGCGTGGTGGATTTTGTTTGCTGCTCATTCTGATATTTTCAATCCCATAGATAAAAACTGCTTTTATATATACAGGTAGGTCCAAAAAAGGCACGTGAAATGTGGTTCCTCGCAAGGTTCTATGATGCTGTTGAAGCAGAGAAAATGGGCCTTGTCAACACTGTTGTACCAGTAAGTTCTTTCCCTAACTGAAGAATTCTTGGACACTAATTCTAATTTCCTTTTTTGTCAAAAAGTATGTGAAAATGTTACAAATGTAATTAAACTGTCGTGGATCTTCGACAAATCGTTTAAGAAATAGGGAGCTACTAAAAGCAATAGCAGACGGACACATGCTCCAACATCCACCTAGTACTTACAGTGAATGCTATGTTTTGGTTTGGTCTAGCTTGAAAATTTAGAGAAAGAAACAATCAAATGGTGTCGGGAGATACTGAGGAACAGTCCAACGGCAATTCGGGTGCTCAAATCAGCTCTTAATGCGGTGGATGACGGCCATTCTGGACTTCAGGTGTATATATCACGATTCTTGATTTCATCTCTCACTATCTCACTATTCTATGATTTTCTAATGTGTAGCCAAGACTATACAATAAGAAATAAATAGTAAATTTTTATTGAAAAGTATAACTTTTAATATTATCAATGCATTGGATCTTGTGATTTATAATAACTTATTATATATAGATATAAGAACACATTAAAAAAATTGTATATAATTTATAAACGAGAAAATTGATTATTCGAAGTGTTCCCAAGGTTTTGCAATGATCTATATTATCAAGCCTACTTGTTATATTTTGTCACCCGTATCTTGGTGCATATGCTTGCATACTTAACTTGCATTTATCTTAATTATAGGAAATTGGTGGAAATGCAACACTGATATTCTATGGTACAGAAGAAGCTAATGAGGGGAAGACTGCATATCTGCAGCATAGACGCCCAGATTTTTCTAAGTTCCAGCGGCGGCCTTAAATTCAAATGTACACGTCAATTGTTGTTATCATTTTGGGGCGTTGACCTCTGGTCTTTCCAATATAAAGAAAAATTGATTGGGCACATGTTCACCCTTAATTTATTCATTTTAAATGTATTTTAGTTGTTAGTAAACATGTATCTTATTTCTAAATTGATGATCCTCTTAAATAAATAAGACCATATATTTGTACTTATTTTTTTCAATACTTAATTTTTTTAATAATTCATCTTCTGATATTCAATTTTGTAAAAATTAAACTAAAATAATTGATGTAAAATTTAGCCTAAATATTATCACTCGTTCTTTCTTGGGGAGAGATTGAAAGAAAGACTAAAATTGAAGAACTTCTCCCTCCTGTAACCAGAAAGACTAAATATCGTGTTACTAATACGTTATCAGTTTTTAATATTTTATTATTTAAAAGTAATATTTAAAAAAATTCCTGAAAAATGTTTATATTATTTTAAAATTAATAATTAATATTTTTTCTACTGTTTAGCATGTGAGGTGATAAAGCCCTAAACCTAATTTATTCTTGTGAATAGCATCTAAGGGTGCACGGAAAAGATTTATAATTGTAAATGAATTGAATATGTTGAAGGATTGATAATAGGGTAGAGCATTAATTGCCTCCTTTTCCTTGTGTGAGATCATGCTCAGCAACCTAGCTGGAACTTTCCTCCTCTAAACCATCACCCAAGAAAAGAATGTTCTGATCTTATATTCGAATTCTAAAACCAGCCAAAGTCATTTCTACCCTTAGATTTGCTCCTTTTTCCAAATTGTGGAATTCTTGAAATGAAATGATACAGATGGAGGTACTATGTACTATTGGGCCAAGTGACACCAACAACTCAATTGGTGAGGGTGGACCAAGTAATGAACTAAAATTCATAAGGAAAAGCTCGAGACAAACCTCAAGGCCAGCTAGCTGGAATGAATTCATCCACTAGGAATATAGTTCCTTAATTATCTTCTCTGTTATTAGCAATTATGTTTTGCTTATGTTCATGAGAGGAGATTTGGAATCTTTTTATGTTAGGATATGTGTTGTTCTTTTTGTTTTTGTGGGTGTCTTTAGAGAGTGAGAATTGCTTATATCAATTATAAGAATTCATTTGAAAGGATATGAAAAATTTGGCCTATTATTAAACTTTTTCTCTGGAGGACTGGTACCTCGAATACCATATTTCTTTTCTTCATCTTCTATCATCTGATGCTTTCAATGACTTCTTAAGCCTCTGTGGATCTTTTGATTGAACAAGTGATTCGTCTCACCGAGCGCATCAATGGCCTTTCCAATGACGTCTCCGCACTCCAAACCAAACCATTTCCCACCGCACATTCCTCATTGTCCAGAGCCACTCCCAAGATTCACTTAGACTGCCCGCGATTTGATAGTTCTAACACTTTGGATTGGATTTTTGCAGTGACACGTTTCTTTGAGTACCATCAAATACCCGAAGTTGAACGGTTACAAATCCTTTCCTTCTACCTGGATGGCCCTGCCCTCAACTGGTTCTAGTGGATGGAACGCAATAACATGCTTCGTACTTGGTCAAAATTTCTCCATTCTCTCGAGGTGCGATTTGCCCCTTCTCGTTTTCAAAACATGAAAGGTCGTTTGTGCAAGCTCTTACAAACAAGTTCGGTCCTCCAATATCTCACTGAATTTGAGATCCTCGCCACTCGTATCACAGATGTCCCTCCTTCGTTCATGCTTAAGTGTTTTATTTCTGGGTTGTGCCCCTGACATTCAACAGGAGGTTCTCGCCTTTCAACCAGTCACCTTTTCGGAGGCGGCAGAATTGGCGAAACTTTATAAGGACAAATTTGGTTCTGCTGTGTTTCTTCATGACCCCACTACCCCTCGACTCTGCGTCCATCCTCGGCGACATTGCGCCCACCATTATTACCCACACCGTCCTCCCCAGCCATTCCCTATAAGCGTCTCTCCACCTCAGAAATGCAGGCCCGTCGTGACAAAGGACTTTACTATAATTGCGACAAGAAATATAGCCCTGACCATCGTTGTAAATCTCATTTTTTTCCTTCTGGTGCATGATGACGATGAACATCCACCCTTGGAGACGTCACTAGAGGATTCTCCTACGTTGGAAAACTCGAATTCTGCATGGTTAAGCCTAAATGCCCTTTCTGGTCATTTTAACTCGAAAATGTTCCGAGTCGCGGGACAAATCTTGGAGAAGCCGATCCATGTGCTCTTAGATAGTGGGAGCTCCCACAATTTTCTTCAATCTAAAAAGGCTGTTGAAATGGGCCTTCCTGCAAGCCCAACCAAACCCCTTTCAATAACCGTGGGCAATATGCATGCCCTGATGTGTTCTAAGGTATTCACTAAGGTCCCTCTTGTCATTAAGAGTAGACCCTTTTTGATAGATTTTTATCTGATTGATCTATGTGGGCCTGAGGCTGTTTTGAGGGTGCACTAGTTACAAAGTTTAGGCCAGTCCTAACAGATTATGAGAAGCTCACTATGCAATTTATGTGGGATGGTAAAATAGTGAAGCTTCTAGGGGATACATAACCTGAGCCCATGGCCATTTCGATCCACCAACTACGTCGTTTATCACACTGGGAACAGATCTCGAAGTGCTACCATCTTTCTCTGGTTCCTCTGCTTACCCTTACCCAACTCTTCTCCATCTCTGATTCTACCCACCCAAATGTGTCTGCCTTACTCCACCACTACCAAGCACTTTCCAAGGAACCCACTTTTTTGCTTCCACTAGAGCGCCCAACAGACCATACAATCCCTCTTTTCCCAAATTCAGCTTCGGTGAAGGTTTGTCCCCACAGCTATCCATATTCTCAAAAGAAGGAGATTGGACTCAGGTAGCCCGTATGCTCGCCACGGGGGAAATTCGTCCGAGCACCAGTGCCTTTTCTTCCCCTATTCTCTTGGTGAAGAAAAAGGACCACACATAGCGCTTTTGTGTCGATTATTGAGCGCTTAATGCGATAACGTCTCAGACAACTTTTCAATTCTGGCAATTGATGAATTGCTCGACAAATTGGGTGCTGCTGTTTGGTTCTCCAAGTTGGATCTTCTACAGGGCTATCATCAGATTCGCATGACCCCGAATGATATGCACAAGACTGCTTTTCGCACTCACGATGGCCATTATGAGTTTCGCGTGCTTCCTTTCAGACTGTCCAATGCCCCAACAACATTTCAAGCCACCATGAATGATTTATTCCAGTCCCATTTATGGAAATTTGTTATCGTCTACTTCGACGATATCCTTATCTATAGTACTTCCTGGCTGATCATTTATTCCACTTGGAAACCATTTTTAAATTGCTTCTGACTAACGACTTCTATTTCAAATTGCCCAAATGCTGTTATGCTATGCAATAGGTTGAATATTTGTGACACATAGTCAATGCAGGTTCAATCGGTCCCAACCGTTCCAAAATTAAAGCTATGACTTCTTGGCCATACTTCTGTCAAGGCCCTGAAGGGTTTTCTTGGCCTCACGAGGTTCTACCGCAAATTTATCAGTGGTTACGCTTCCTTGGCGTCTCCCCTCACAGATTTGTTGCGCAATGATGCATTTCAGTGGTCTCCACAGGCTCAAGAGGCATTTGATCAGCTTAAACATGCCATGTCTACTGCTCTGGTGTTGGCTTTACCGGATTTTACGAAACCATTTATGGTTCAATATGATGGCTCTAATACTCTCATGGGGGCGGTTTTATCCCAGGACCAAAAAAGCTTGTGGCATTTTCAGTAAGAAATTCTATCCCCGTATAATGCAAGCTTCCACCTATTTGCGAGAGCTCCATGCCGTTACAGCAACTATCAAAAAGTGGAGGCAATACCTCTTGGGCAATTACTTCATCATACAAATAGATCGTAAACCCCTAAAGGATCTCTTAACTCAAACTGTGCAGACTCCGGAACAACAGTTTTACATGAGTAAGCTCCTTGAGTACAATTATACGATCCAATATTGCCCTGGTCACACCAACACCGCGGCAGATGCCCTGTCACACCTTCCTGAGGAATAGAGTACCTCTCAGTTCTATGTCATTAGAGTTCCTCATTTCCAATTCTTGGAGGAATTACACACAGCTCTTCACTCTAATCATCATTTTGACTCCATGAAACAGGACATTGGTGTTGCGTCTGCAGGTGACTACAAATTGCAGGATGGCCTTATCTTCTTCAAGAGGAGAATTTGGTTGCCCTCATCTTCCCCTTTCTGCGAGATTTTGATAACAGAATTTCATTCAACTCCTTTGGGTGGTCATTTGGGATTGGTCAAGACCCTCAACTGATTGCAGGAAAAAATTTTCTAGACAGCGATGTTTAAGGATGTTAGGTTTTTTATCCGCAAATGTGTTGCATGTTAGCAGATTAAATGCATTCCTCAAAAACCTGCAAGGCTCCTCCAACCTATTTCCCTACCCACTCGTGTCTGGGAAGACTTGGCCATGGATTTCATCACCGACCTCCCTCCATCCCGCGGGTATAGAGCTATTTTGGTGGTCGTCGATCGTTTTTAAGGCTGCCCATTTTGGCCTCTGCCCATCAGTATTCTGCTTACCAGGTGGCCCTTTTGTTTATAATTTGGTGGCTAAACTCCATGGAATGCCTAAGAGTATTATCTCCGATCGTGATCCCCTATTTTTGAGCAAATTTTGGTAGGAATTGTTCAAGGCCTACAACCCTCAGCTGCTTATGTCTTTTGCTTATCATCCAGAAATAGATGGGCAATCTGAAGTGCTCAATCGCTCCCTCGAGCAATACTTACTGGCCTTTTGCCACCATTAAACTTCTCAATGGAGTCACTACATTCCACGGGCAGAATGGTATTACAATACTTCTGTCCATTTAGCTACAAGCTACACCCTTTTTGAGATTATGTACGGTCGTGCTTCTTCTTCATTACCGGGATATTTACTAGAGAAATCCCTGGTGGAGGCAGTCAAGGAAATGCTCAGTTCCCGCGATGCTCTGTTAGCTAAGCTACGCAGAAACTTACACAAGTCCCACGAGCGCATGAAGAAGTTGGCGGATGCCCATTGTCGTGACGTTTAGTTTGACGTAGGAACTTGGGTGTATGTCAAACTCCGCCCA